CACGTGGCCATCTGGCATAATCCAAGAATAGAATCACAGAGCCGAAAGAGAACACAAAGACCATCCAGTCCACCACTTCCACCCCCTCTCCCCAAAAAAGAGAGATCACAATCCAGTCCCAGAAGGTGGTAGAGATGGCACAGGAGGCTGAGCCCACCAGTGAGACTGCATTGCATGGCCTTCTACTAACTCTTGGACCAATTCTCTGAAGGTAGCTGAATGACTTGATCAATGAAATAATGAGCACTACCACCTAGAAAGCTCCCCTATACTCTATGGGAGCTTCAGCTAAGCAAGACAGCAAAGACTCCCCTCCCTGTGAAATGGTTTTGTGAGGCAAGTTTGAACCAACAACTTGAGAAAGGTAGGAAAAGAACAGCAAAACAAGTGGAGAGTGTGAAGATCCATCCAGTCCATTGCCACCACAGGGTCTGCCAAGTAAATATTGAATACACACTCCTTTTCCCTTTTCTCTTTTTGGTTTAAGGTAGCCTCCCTACTCCTTATCAGTTTCAGCAAGATATCAATGTAGTGCCTATCCAGAGCCTGCTCCCTTGTATTACATGCAAAGTGGATTCTTGGAAGGTCCTCATTTTCCTCGGATGTTGAGGGAATGCCATCTGGTTCAGTTTTTCCTTGACTACTCAAACTTCCTGTTTGGCCTGAAGCTAACCATTGCTCCCAAACTTTTTTTCCTCCGGGTGCAAGCAGTTAAAGTTGAGACATATACGGCCATGGGTGTATGTTTAGGGAGAAGTGTGTGAGAGTGATTATTTTCCCTAGTTACCAGTTTATGCTAAGGGTCCTCAGGGCCATATCCAGCTTTTTGGGGGGAGGGGGGTGTAGACCCATCTCATGCCACAGGGGCGGAAGGACCACTCTCTATTTTTGCTCATTTGGAATGTCACTTCTGTCATTTCATGTTCCACCCAGCCAGGCTGAAGCTGTGCCAAAGCTAGACCAAGCCTCTTAGGTAAAGGCAAAAGTTTTCCCTTGACATTAAGTCTAGTCGTGTCCAACTCTGGGGGTTGGTACTCATCTCCATTTCTAAGCTGAAGAGCCGGTGTTGTTTTTAGACACCTCCAAGATCGTGTGGCCAGCAAGACTGCATGGCGCACTGTTACCTTCCCGCCAGAGCGGTACCTATTGATCTACTCACATTTGCATGTTTTTGAACTGCTTGGTTGGCAGAAGCTGAGGCTAACAGTGGGAGCTCACGCCGCTCCTCGGATTTGAACTTCTTCACTATAGCTTATAAATGTACTACTGTAATGTGCTCTACGTGGGGCTGCCCTTGAAAACGGCTCGGAAATTCCAACTGGTCCAACGGGCGGCGGCTAGGATGTTAACTGGCGCTCCTTACAGAGAGAGGTCAACCCTCCTGTTTAAGGAGCTCCATTGGCTGCTGTTTACCTACCGAACCCAATTCAAGGTGCAGGTGCTTACCTACAAAGCCCTAAACGGTTTGGGACCTGCCTACCTGAGTGACCGCATCTCCGTTTATGAACCCACGCGCTCCCTTCGTTCATCCGGAGAGGCCCTGCTCACGATCCCACCTGCGTCACAGGCGCGTTTGGTGGGGACGAGGGACAGGGCCTTCTCTGTGGTTGCCCCCGACTCTGGAACACCCTCCCCAAAGACATTAGACTAGCACCCACGTTGGCAGTCTTTAGGAAGAACCTGAAGACCTGGCTATTCCGATGTGCCTTCCCAGAATAGGATAACCCCCAGCACCATGTCCCAGAAGCACTTTATTAGAGTTAAGACTCTCTGCACATTGCACTTGTCCAGAATTCCAACATACCATTGTCACATCCAGCACTTTTTAACCTGTACCCATCATTGGCCCGGCCCTGTTTTTAATGTGTAATAGTGTAATGTTTTTGTCATTGCTTATGTTTTAATTTTTGCTTTGTATTGTATTGTTATTGTTTGCTGTTGTTGTATTGAGGCCTTGGCCTTTGTAAGCCGCATCGAGTCCTTCGGGAGATGCTAGCGGGGTACAAATAAAGTTTAATAATAATAATAATAACAAGCTGCACCCCTTTTGTTCCGACAATATGTTCAGTGTCACTTTGCACCCTGCACTCACTGCAAGATAATGCCAAAGCAGTTTGAAAACAAAACCTCTCTCCCCAACTTGAGCACAGACAGATAAGCTTTGGCAAACTTGGCACTGCTGAGATTGGGAAGCTGTACTGATAAGGGCACTGACAATGCCTGCCAATCAAGTAATAAGACATTATGGGCTTGTGTCTCCTTGCTAGAGGTTGTTTAAAGTCATTTGTGCCTGTCGCTACTGGTTGCTGTTTGGCAGTGAGGTTTTTTGGCCTCTGGACTGAAGGTAGATCTGGCTGTGTTGACACTGAAGCATCTGTGAGAAGTTCTAAGCAATGCAATGTATCAAGCCTTTCAGTGTCTGCTGAGCATTGTACTACACCTAGTTTCTCGGTGTTTGATAATAGTTCCTAGGAAGGTGAAATGTCTTTCCACTCTTGATTTCGTGCATATATAAATAAATGTACTTTATCACGCAATATTATCCACAGCTGCTTCCATTTTAACATGAAAGGGACCAAAAAGATTAGAATAAGGTCACAGTCCAAAAGAATTTAAAATGAATGGCAAAAGATATAATTTGGCAACTGACACCAGAATGTCGAAGGCTTTCATGGCTGGAATCACTGGGTAGTTGTAGGTTTTTCGGGCTATATGGCCATGTTCTAAAAGCATTCTCTCCTGACGTTTCGCCTGTATCTATGACAAGCATCCTCAGAAGTTGTGAGGTCACAACCTTTGAGGATGCTTGCCATAGATGCAGGCGAAACATCAGGGGAGAATGCTTCTAGAACATGGCCATATAGCCCAAAAAACCTACATATTTATCGTGTCATCAGCAACCATACCATTGTATTATACCTACAACAACCTACAACAACCTAAAAAACCTACAACAACCCAGCGACACCAGAATCTTACCTAGTGTATTCAAACAGATGAATACATTAAAAACACTTCTGTCCACAAATATACAATGTATTGAAATATGCAAATAAAGCCCTTTTTTATAAGTAACAAAATCAACAGAAAAATACATCCTTACCTTATCACTATTATCTGAAAGGCATAGTTCAGCTAAATCCAGCAAATCAAGCACATCCTTAGCAGAATCTCTGCAACCTCATTGCCCTCATGAGTTTCCAGATACCTACCTCATTACAGTGGGATGCTCAAAAATGTGGAGGAAAGGGCTGGTTGATATTCTTAGCAGGACAATTTAAGCTCCAATTTTTAATTCCATTTTTTTTACTGGAATATGATATCCTACCCTTGGAATAAGCACAATGCCTTCAAATAAAGTGTGTCTTTGAATGAGGCAAGAGACACACGGAAACTGCCAGGCACCAGATTTCACTCCAGGACACCTTGCTATGAACAGGTTTTGGCTGCCCCAGAAATGATGAGCTGTCACTTTGAGTTTCAGCTGAAAATCATCTCTGTTGGGGGCTTTGGTAGGGACAGGCAAGAAGCTTACACAAACTGTTATGTTTACTCAGTGAATGTGAATTTTCTGGGGCTTTTTTCGTGTCAGGAGCGACTTGAGAAACTGCAAGTCACTTCTGGTATGAGATAATTGGCAGTCAAAGCCATGGTATTCCCTGTAGTAACCTACAGATGTGAGAGCTGGACCTTAGGGAAGGCTGAGCGAAGGAAGATCGATGCTTTTGAGCTGTGGTGTTGGAGGAAAGTGCTGAGAGTGCCTTGGACTGCGAGAAGATCCAACCAGTCCATCCTCCAGGAAAGAAAGCCCGGCTGCTCATTGGAGGGAAGGAGACTAGAGACAAAGTGGAAGTCCTTTGGCCACAAGTAAGCATTTGCAGTATAGTTGATTTTGCCCAAGGGCGCTCTTGAGGTGCTCTTGGGGGAAAATAGACCTTGACATATTCGAGTTGTAGTTACTGGGATGTATAGTTCACCTACAATCAAAGAGCATTCTGAACTCCACCAATGATGGAATTGAACCAAATATGGCACACAGAACTCCCACAAACAAAATATATATCAGTGATTGGTTGGGGGGGGGGGGGCAAAATACTGTTTGCTTACCGTTGAAAATTACCTAGGGCCGCTCTGACTAGAGACAAAGTTGAACTACTTTGGCCACATCATGAGGAGACAGCAAAGCCTAGAGAAGACAATTATGCTGGGGAAAGTGGAAGGCAAAAGGAAGAGGGGCCGACCAAGGGCAAGATGGATGGATGGCATCCTTGAAGTGACTGGACTGACCTTTAAGGAGCTGGGGGTGGTGATGGCCGACAGGGAGCTCTGGCGTGGGCTGGTCCATGAGGTCACGAAGAGTCGGAGACGACTGAACGAATGAACAACAACAACAACAATCACTGCCCTGGTGTTGCCAATGGGATGCCCGGATGTTTTACCATCCTGTGGGATGCGTCTCTCGTGTCCCCACATGAGAAGCTGGAGCTGACAGCCAGTAGCTCACCCTGCTCCATGCATTCAAACTGCCGACCTTTCAGTCAGCAGTCCTGGCAGCAAATGGATTTAACCCATTGTGCCACTCTTCATTTTCTGGATGAATTTTCACCTGTTCTTTAATTTGGGGTTAAGAAGCACTACTGCCTGCGCTTTCCCTGTGAGAGGCTTGCCAGAAGTGGTTCAGCATCATCTACCAAAGGCATCTTCCACAATCCAAACCTTGATAGGCCTATCAATTATCCTCAACTTAGGGCTCATCATTCATGCACATTCCTAAGGCTGGCTCCAGATGCAAATGTAGCTCAAGGTGGTGCTGGCAAAGGCAGACTACTAATGAGCCGCCTAGCAAAGCGGGATTGTCTCAGCTTATTCCAAAGCTCTGAAAATATTCAGATTTTATTCACAGGCAGAGAGATCAGCCAAAACTGGTTCAAAAGGATTGTAGAGACAGACAAATACATACATCACACCACATGGAATTGAAAGGTTTCCCCTTTTTTTACCTGTTTCACAACAGTAACGGTTCCTGGGGCCATGGCAACCACGGAGGCAACAGCAGTGGCATCATGAGGTTCCGAACCCAGCTCTATGATTTGCTGCAGGATGTTAACCGCGGTGGGGTCAAATCGTCCCCCTTATCAGAAAGAAGCAGAAGGAATGGCAACATTAAGACAAGCATCAAGATAACACGGATGTTCAAAATTTTCATTCCCTCAAGTTCATCTCCTTTGCTCATCTTTCTGCCGTTTTGCATTCCATCAAATCAATTCCAAAGTCATTTCTCCCCTTCCTCATTCAAATCTTCTATCAAAACCTTTTTCCTCTTATTTATTTATTTCCTATATTTATACCCCGCCCTTCTCCCCCCAAAGGGAGACTCTTGAATCCCACCCAGCCTTATCTCCTTGCTTTACTATCTCCTTCTTCTACCTCAGTCCTAAATAAGTTATTCTGCTGCGTCACCATTTAAAAAAAAACTGCAAAAGAAACAGTCAATTTTATGAGACCTTGAATAACAAAACACATATTCCTTGGGAAGTCAGACTTGGGCACAGTAGCCCATGCTCTGGTTACATCCTGGATAGACTACTGTAATGCGCTCTCTGTGGGGCTGCCTTTGAAGATTGTTCTGAAGCAACAAATGGTCTAACGGGTGGCAACCAGATTGCTCACCGGGGCAGCGTACAGGGAGCATACAACCTCCCTGTTACGTCAGCTCCACTGGCTTCCAATCTGCTACCGAGCACAATTCAAAGTACTGGCTTTAACTTACAGAGGTCCTCAAACTTTTTAAATAGAGGGCCAGGTCACAGTCTCTCAAACTGTTGGAGGGCCGAATTATAATTTGAAAAAACATGAATGAATTCTTTTGAACACTGCACATATCTTATTTGTAGTGCAAAAACACTTAAAAACAATACAATAATTAAAATGAAGAACAATTTTAACAAATATAAACTTATTAGTATTTCAATGGGAAGTGTGGGCCTTCTTTTGGCTGATGAGATAGGATTGTTGTTGTTGTTGTTGTTGTTGTGTGCTTTCAAGTCATTTCAGACTTAGGTTGACCCTGAGCGAGGGCCGGGTAAATGACCTTGGAGGGCCGTATCAGACCCTTGGCCTAAGTTTGAGGACCCCTGCCCTAAATGGTTCTGGCCCAGCTTATCTATCCGAACATATCTCCCTCTATGAACCACTGTGGAGTTTAAGTTCACATGGGGAGGCTCTGCTCTCAGTCCCACCTCCCTTGCAAGTGTGATTGGCGGAGATGAGAGACAGAACCTTCTCAGGGGTGGCCCTCCATCTGTGAAACTCCCTCCCCAGGGATATGAGATCTACCCCCTCCCTCCTGACCTTCCACAAGAGAGTGAAAACAAGGCTTTGTGACCGAGCCTTTAGAGCAGGGGTCCTCAAACTAAGGCCCGGGGGCCGAATGTGGCCCTCCAAGGTCAATTTACCTGGCCCTCGCTCAGGGTCAACCTAAGTCTGAAACGACTTGAAAGCACACACAACAATCCTATCTCATCAGCCAAAAGCAGTCCCACGCTTCTCATTGAAATACTATATATTTGTTAAAATTGTCCTTCATTTTAATTATTGTATTGTTTTTAAGTGGTTTTTGCACTACAAATAAGATATGTGCTGTGTGCAAAGGAATTCATTCATGTTTTTTTCCAGTTATAATCCGGCCCTCCAACAGTTTGAGGCACTGTAACCTGGTCCTCCGTTTAAAAAGTTTGAGGACCCCTGCTTCTGAGAATTTGTGCAATGGATAGACTTGGAACAATATGCAATGTCCATTGGAATGGCCCAGGTTATGTGTTTAACTCTGAATGCATTGTTTTTAAATGTTTTCATTGTTTCTAATGTACTCTTTAATTCTATTTTAATATTTATTTAAGTACACATTGTATTTTAAGTCATCGAAATGTTGCCTGAACGTAAAGCTGCTTTGAGTCCCCTCCGGGGTGAGAAAGGCGGGTAGAAATGGCTCAAATAAATAAATATACACACTAGATGCCTTGTGTCTGATGTTTAGTGTCATCTGGATTGTAAGCTCCTCAGCAAGGGCCAGGTTCTTTAGCACAGTGAAAAGTGAATGGCTAATCAACTTGGTTTTTTCTCTCTCCAAAACTAGCAGTAAATTTGTAAGAATCAGGCAGCAGGTCTATTCTGAGAACAGTTGCTTAGAATAGCCCTTGCTTGCATTTCTGATGAAGAAACAAATGATAACATCTAATAGGCAAAACTCCACTTCAGCCTCAAGAAGCTGCACTTTGAGAATAACTGCTATTTAGAAGGCGGCATTGTCCAAACTTCCAGCAATTTTCACATAATTAAAAGCTTAATCTGAATAATTAGGAAGCATCTCTTGCAATATCATGGGGAAACTGTTCAGAAGTTGAAAAACTACTCAATAGTTACAGTGATTATTTGGCCTACCCATTGCCCTATTTACTTTTGGTGGTAACATAAAGGCATAGCTAAATCGAATTTGTGACAAAGCATTGCTATAAGTTTTATTGAAGGCTTTCATGGCCAGAATCTCTTGGTTGTTGTGAGTTTTCCAGGATGTATGGTCATGTTCTAGAAGAATTCTCTCCTGAAGTATATGGCCATACAGCCCGGAAAACTGCTTGGCCAGCTGGACTGTGGTGCAGTTGGCTGGGAGTCAGCTGCATTAAGATCACTACTGACCAAAAGGTCATGAGTTTGAAGCCAGCCTGGGTCGGAGTGAGCTTCCAACCAATTTGTGTAGCTTGCTGTCGACCTTTGCAGCCTGAAAGACAGTTGCATCTGTCAAGTAGGAAATTTAGGTACCACTTATGTGGGGAGGCTAATTTACGACGCCATAAAAAACCTTCAGCAAGCATGCAAAGAATGAGGAAGTACTTCGTCAGTGTCACAAATGGACAGTAAAACGACAGCTCCCCTGGTGGCCAGATGTCATATGTTCTGCAGTTGATGGTGGTGGTGATGGAAGGGTTAATGTGAGTATTAGTTCTAGAGGGTTTGGAAATCTGTAAGTGGGAGTTCATGGGCGAAAGTAATTAGGGGTGGAGGTGTGCAGCAGATAGTCTGCAGCTGGGTGTTACTAGATTTAGGGTGCTAACCTTGAGACTGATCATCGGGAGAGAAGTATCTGTTGTATTTTGGTGGTGGATGCTGCTGGTTTTCCCCCCAGGTCTGTTGGATTTTTTTGGTATCTTGGCCTGTCTCCTGTAATCTTGAACCTTTGGACTGGCTTTTGACTACGATATAGACTCTTGATCCCTGGACCTTGTTTATTGAATTCTTGGCGTTTGACCACTGGATTGGACCCTTTGACTACGGTGTAGCTTTTGCTATCAGTATTTGTTTATTCTGTGGCTGGGTGATATCTTTATGTTTTGGTCTATTAAAACAGCCAGCAAGTAAGTGCTGTTTTAATTAAACTGTTTGATAAAACTGGGAGCTTGGTTCATCTCTACCTAAATAAGGTATTGCCCTGGCAACGTGACACCAGGATACACTCATGAAAAAAGCTGGAATATTAAATAGCCTCTGTGTGTCTGTCTATATATGTTGTGTGTCTATGGCATTGAATGTTTGCCATGTGTATGTACATTGTAATCCACCCTGAGTCCCCTGCGGGGTGACAAGGATGGAATATAAATACTGTAAATAAATAAAAACTCACAACAACCCATTGCTATAAGCATCTTGGTGGGCTAACTGGCAGGGATCCCTCAACCGCAAAACAAAACAGAGGGGAAAAATAGTCGCTGAAAAGGTAGCAGGAGGAGAAAACAATAACTGCAAACAGCCACAAAATATCAACAAGACACTTCTTCATGCTGTCATTATGTTTACCTTTGAAACCTGGCACTAAGTTGTACTGATTCTGCAGTCTTTGTATCTTGGCGCAATCAATGGCTACAGGAAGCACCAAGCTACATTTATATCTGGGAGAACTCCAGTTTGCTCCAGGAAGTAAAGGCTGATTTATGACAGCGTAAAGAAGCTTCTTGCACTTCTTTATAGTATGCTTCTACTGTAATATCAAAAAAGGTATTTGCACAAGAGGGATGAAAAAGAGTGGGAGACCAGAGAGGCAAAACAAGCACAGCGCTGCTTTTCTGACTCCCCAAATAAGGCAAACCTCATAAGCTTTTTCAAAGGTGATCCAATTTCTTGCCCAAACAACCAATCACACCTCACCCCTTTTCTTTATGATGTTCATTTTGGACAATACTTCAGAGAGACTTGCCAGTGTGTACCTGTAGCTGCTTCTTTAAAAATGCCTGAAGCTATTCTCAGGAAGAAGCTGTGTTGCTGATAGCAGGTATCAGATTTTCCAAAGTGCTGCAAACTTGGCAATTTTAATGTGGAATGAGAAGCCTCATCTCTCCTACACTCACTTTTACTAACAGGATATAAAACTAGTGCAGCACAGAAAAAATTATAGCACAAATACCACTTAAGTCACCAAAATCATGGTGGCCTTAGAAAAGCTACCTTCCTCTTCTCTCTCTCTGTTTACTTATATCTGTATGTCAACTTACAATAAAATCCTAAAGTTGGAAGAGACCTCATGGGCCATCCAGTTCAACCCCATTCTGCCAAAAAACAGAAAAATGCATTCAAAGCACCCCTGACAGATGGTCATCCAGCCTCTGTTTAAAAGCCTCCAAAGAAGGAGCCTCCACCACACCCCAGGGCAGAGAGTTCCACTGCTGAACAGCTCTCACAGTCAGGAAGTTCTTCCTCATGTTCAGGTGGAATCTCCTTCCCTGTAGTTTGAAGCAATTGTTCCGTGTCCTAGTCTCCAGGGCAGCAGAAAACACGGTTGTTCATTCCTCCCTATGACTTCCCCTCACATCTTTATCCATGGTCCTCATCATGTCTCACAACCAGATACAGTGAACACATCTGCCATTGCGCTTTGCTACTCTGCTGCTGAGTATGCATAAATTACAGTGCTTAGCCGGTATTGCACCACCTGACATCCGCCGGGAAGTAGCAGCCAATAGTGAAAGGACCAAGGCAGAGACATCTCCAGCTCATCCCTTGTTTGGGTATCAGCCAGCACGTCAACGACTTAAATCAAGAAATAGTTTTCTAAGATCTACAGAGACACTTGCTGGAACATCCCAGCAAGCGAGAGTCCAAAAGTGGCAGGCTCAAACCCAAACCTCAATCAATGGCTGATAACAAATGAGAGACTCCCCCCTGGGCACACAGGAAATTGAGCGACCTGGAAGGCGCTGAACAGACTGCACTCTGGCACCACGAGATGCAGAGCCAACCTCAAGAAATGGGGCCACAAAGTGGAATCCACAACATGTGAGTGTGGAGAAGAGCAAACCACAGACCACCTGCTGCAATGCAACCTGAGCCCCGCCACATGCACAATGGAGGACCTCCTTGCGGCAACACCAGAGGCACTCCAAGTGGCCAGATACTGGTCAAAGGACATTTAATCAACTACCAAGCTTGCAAACTCTGTTTTGTCTGTTTGTTAAAATTTTGTTAAAATGTAATACAATTGTCTGGTTGATGCTGACACGATAGATAAATAAATAAATAAATCATGTCTCCTCTCAGCCTTCTCTTCTGCAGGCTAAACATGCCCAGCTCTTTAAGCCGCTCCTCATAGGGCTTGTTCTCCAGATCCTTGATCATTTTAGTAACTTTCCTCTAGACACATTCCAGCTTGTCAATACCATAGGTCATAACCACTACTTTGAATTGTTACTGAAAACAGATTGGCAGCCAGTGAAGCAGTTGCCACAAGGGAGGTATATGCTCCCTGGAGGTCTTGTAAGTTAATTAGTAACACAGTTAATTAATAAGACTCACTTCGAGCACTTAATATTTCTAAACTGCTTTGCAATGTACTCTTTTTCTCCTTATGGATAACACCATTACCATTTTCAGAGGTATGTCGCAAGTCCTGTAAAGCAGCAACAGCAGCCTGGGCTCCTTGCATATCGCCAGCTTCTGTAATTTGGAGATACGATGAGGTGTCTTCGTCGGAAATCTCCGTCGTTTGCTGCACAGCAGGCCAGTGAGCAGTGGGGGGAAAAAAGGAATGAGCAGACACATCATAAAGATGCCAACAGACAAACAGATAGAAAATTGATTTTAAAGTACATATACGCTGTTGATTAGGGCACAGATACCACAAAACAGTGTATAGCTAACATAATGTATATTTGAACGGTGAAACCAAAAGAATATGGTACAGCAAAATGGCACAGATTTAAAACTCTGTAATATGAATTTGTTTTTATGGTGGGCCTTGAAGCCATTTCCAACCCAAAGTGACCACAACATGAACCTATCATTCCGGAAGAATCCTAAGACATGGCTATTTGAGTGGGCATTTGAAAATACGGAGTAATGGATATAATAATGGAATAACTATATGGCGGAACTGGACATTGTTTTAAATCTGGAATTTTGTGTCCAATTCTGGGCACCACAATTCAAGAGAGATATTGACAAGCTGGAATGTGTCCAGAGGAGGGCGACTAAAATGATCAAGGGTCTGGAGAACAAGCCCTATGAGGAGCGGCTTAAGGAGCTGGGCATGTTTAGCCTGAAGAAGAGAAGGCTGAGAGGAGATATGATAGCCATTTATAAATATGTGAGAGGAAGCCACAGGGAGGAGGGAGCAAGCTTGTTTTCTGCTTCCTTGGAGACTAGGACGCGGAACAATGGCTTCAAACTACAAGAGAGGAGATTCCATCTGAACATGAGGGGGAAAGAAAACTTTTCCTGGGACTGTGAGGGGGAGGCAGGTTCAAGCAGTTTGGGAAACAAAACTCTAGCACCGGGGGAGTTGTGGGGGGGAGGGCTCCTTTCCTTGTTTGGAAGCTTTGTAAACCAAGGAGGGGTGGATGTTTGGCCATCTTGTGGCTCAGGGGTTTGATTTTGAATTGCAATAAATATTTCCTTGCTTTTTCTTGGGCAGGGGGGGGTTGGACGGGTAGGGCCATTTTGAGGGTTCTCTGTTTCCAAAAAATCCTTTGATTCTATGATTAAATCCATATTCATCAATCTTTTAATGAATTTTTATGTTGCTGTTGTAAAGTTGAGAGTTTAGTATTGTAATTGTAATTGTGTCCTTGGTTGGCCCAGTGACTTTTTATGGCTTGTGTTAAAAAAACCGCCTCGAGTTGCCGGAGGGCTGAGAGGGGTGGTATACAAATGAAGTAAATAAATAAATACTAAATTAATAATAATAAATAAACCTGTGACGGGGTTTTCTTGGAAAGCTTTGTGCATGTGGGATTTGCCATTCCTTTCCTCTGAGGCACAAGGAATGCAACTCGCTCAAGGTCACCCAGTGGGTTTAGAAGATTGAGAGGGGATCCAAACTCTTGTCTCTTGGGTCCCAGTCTAATAGGACCAGAATTGTGATGCAGCTGGCTGGAAGTCAGCTGCATTAAGATCACTACTGACTGAAAGGTCATGAGTTCGAAGCCAGTCTGGGTCAGAGTGAGCTTCCGACCATTGTGTAGCTTGCTGTTGACCTTTGCAGCCCGAAAGACAGTTGCGTCTGTCTAGTAGGCAATTTAGGTACCACTTACAATGCCATAAAATCTCCAGAAAGCTGCAAAAGAATGAAGTACTCAATCAGTGTCAAAAATGGACAGTGAAGCAACAGCTCCCCTGGTGGCCAGAATAACCTCATGAAGCTGGAAAGTTAAATAGCCTCTCTGTGTCTGTCTATATATATGTTGTGTGTCTGTGGCATTGAATGTTTGCCATGTATATGTACATTGTAATCTGCCATGAGTCCCCTGCGGGGTGAGAAGGGCGGAATATAAATACTGTAAATAAATAAATATTCAAAGGATCTGAGTATTTGCTAGGAATGGATTCCCACCATCATGGATTCACTATTGAAGAAGAACTCTCTTATTTATAACTTTTTGATCTTAAGACAAAAGAGGAAAGTGAAGGCAGTTTTTAGGTAAGCTTTAGATGACAAGAAAACTAGAAATGACACATTATATTACACTCAATTCATGTTTAATTCTGAACACTTCCAAGAGCTGTAACTCAAACTTTCAAATGAGTCTTGCTCACTTGTGACTCCTAATTGATTTATCTTTTAGTCATCTGTTGTGCTTTTATATTTTAAGTCATTAACCTTCACTGGCATTCAGGCTTTATAACTCCCTAAATTTAGGGTCTAATCCTTTGCACATTTTCATACAGGGAAACTAAACTGAATACAGCAGGAAACTCAGTCTTGCAAATAAAGCAAAATGAGTTTTCTGCGACCAATCAAAGGAATCCCAGCCTTAACCAGAATGATAATCTATAGCAGATAATTACAATGAAACAAATGCTTGGAAGTTTTGACGTTTTTGCCATCATCTATGTAGTTTATATTATTTTAATTCTCAACCCACTTCCTCATTACACCACTTTAGAGAAGCACGGGATATTAGTAACAGCTATCAGAGCTCGAATTTACCTCCCACTTCATTTCTCCATCACGTTCCACTAATCTGAGCCCATGTTTGTTTTTCAGGTGTCGGTTGCATTCCCATTTTGTACCATATACAAAGTTGCACACAGGGCACTTGATGCCACCTGCAGAAAAAGAAAATAAAGAAGAAGAAATGAACATGGATGTTGTCACTGTTGTGATGTCAGAATTCTCTCATTAATATTAAATGAAAATATAAGCCTGCCATGTCACCCACAGTTTACTTTCTTAAAAATGAAGTTTAACAACTCTGCCGTCTATGTTTATGAAGTGTTGCAGAACTTACACCTACCTCACCTCTCAAGCACTTTCAGTCCATGACTTTTCTCCTATCCAGTTTGGCTCTTTACAATTATTCATAGTGGTTGAAATTCTGTTTTAGCCATGACTACAGTCAGACTTAATTTATTAGATTTATCTCCTCACTAGCTGTATCCGCCACGGATTGCTGAGGTCAACCTTCCCTCTTTCCCTCCTTCCTTCACTCCCTCTGTCCTTCCTTCCCGTCTTTCCTTCTCTTCTTCCTTCCTTCTCTATCTCTTTCCTTCCCCCTTTTTCTTTCTCTTCAGCTCTCTTCCCTCTCTCTTTCCTTCCCTTCCTCTTTCTCTAAATCTTTCCCCATTCCTTCGCTCCCTTTCCTTCCTTCTTTCCCTTTTTTTCTTCTCTTCTCTCCTTCCTTCCTTCTCTAATTTTCCTTCCCTCTTTCTCTCCTTTCTTCCTTTTCTACCCCTTCCTTCCTCCTCTTTGCTTCCATGCTTCCTTCTCTCTTTCCCTCTTTCTTCCTCCCCTCTTTCTTTCTTTTCTTTCTCTCCTTTCTTCCTTCGCTACCTCTTTCCTTCCTTCTCCCTTTCCTTCTTTCTTTCCCTCCCTCTTTCTTTTCTTTCTTTTTCTTCTCCCCTTCCCTCCCTCTTTCTTCCTTTTTTCTGTATTGTCATTTAGCTTTTTGGGGCTTTTTAAGTCCCTTCTGCTGTGTTTTTCAGTGTTTTTATGAGTGAAGGACATACATTGGGTTGTTAGGTGTCTTGTGTCCAAATTTGGTGTCAATTCCCCCAGTGGTTTTTGAGTTCTGTTAATCCCACAAATGAACATTACATTTTTATTTATATAGATTGACTCACTATTGAACAACTGTTTGAATGGGTTCAGTCTAGTTCATGAGCTGGGACAAATGAACAAGGATGTCAGCCAGTGGAGATAGACATTTTAATTGTTATTTTGGGATTTATTGAGCTTTGTCTTCTATTATATTTTAAATACAAAACTGTATACAAAAATGCTTTCTAAACCATCTGATGTGGGGGGATTTCCCTCAATTCTCGCTTCTTCTTTCCACCATTTATTTGTTTGTTTGTTTGTTTGTTTGTTTATGCTATTTCCATCCTGCCTTTTCCCTCAATTTGGAGCCAAGGTGGCTTACAAACAGAATACAAACATTAAAATCCTTCAATCAGGAGAGCAAAATAGATAAAACAACAATAAATAAAATCCCACATTTCAGTTAATACCATAACCTGCTCCTCCACGTATCCCTCCTCCATCCTGATCACAAAATCCCCAAATCCTGCCATGGCTCAATTAAAGGCCTTGTTAATTAAGAAAGTCTTGACCCCCTTCCTAAAGCTAAGCAAAGATGGAGCAGCCCTTAGTTCTTCGGGGGGGGGGGGGGGGGGAGTTTCAGAGGGCTGGGGCTGCACCTGAGTAGAAGCCTTCTCTAGTTATGCACAAACTTGCATATTGCACTACCATTACACTAGGGACAGCTACTATATTTGTGACATTCAAGGAGTGCTCAAACTAGATGAATTCCCTGCCATATAAATTTCTAAACTGTGCAATCCTTCACTGTTTGGAATTTTTTTCTGTGCAAAACCCATGGAAACATTTGGGGTTTTGTTTTTGCACAGAAAACATGATTTTCTGCACATGAGGGTTTTTTTTGCACAGAAAATCTTATCTTTGACACAAAAATTATGCTTTCTATGAAAAAAAGCCACATGGGTGTTTTCAGAGAATAAGTAGTCAATTCTGAAAAGCCTAGCTCTCAAGTACTTTCTTGATGAAATAGTTCACTCTTGACTGTGAAAATAAAGTAATATATATACCCCTCTCGTAACTCTATATTCTTAGTAGCTGTTGGTGAGATCAGGGAAAATTTTCATGCACTAGAGGATATTTGGATGCCAAATTCTTCAGAACACAGTTGTAACTTCTTAGCATGCTAACAATTTGTGTGCTGAAGAATTTACAAGTGCAGAAGGTTCCCTCTATAATTGATTTAGTCAACAAGGTGAATTTACTCTAAAATATAGCAAAATGGTATGAGATTTCTCTGTTTCGTTTGGCAACACTGAGTTGAAGTTAGGCGACCGCACTCACATTTATTGACAGTCAAGGATTTCCTAAGCTAATGCAAACTTACAGGTTGTGTTCGCTAAATTGAAATTGTTTCTCTGTTAAGTAACTTAATATGCAACAGTGCATGACACTTCAAGTACCTTTGGCGTCGGACAGGGCAAAGAGAGCATCAGATGCAAAATCTGAAATGAAATATTCATCCCATATCACCCTTTTAATAAAAACTCAATTAGAAGAAAGACCTTTCTGTATTTCTTTTAAAATTAAAATTACTGTAACAATAACACCCTGTTAATTAAAATGGACACCTTTGTCATTCTGACTTTAATTAACGAACAACAAATGGAAGTATGCGATTGTGCTGGTAGCATAAAACTGCTGTAGTTAATTGACATCACAGCTAAAGAGAATTAATTTCTCCCCAATTCATTAAATACCCTGGCACTACGGAGAAAAAAGGTCACTGAATGACACACTTTATCTGCTTTTGACACCAGTGTACATACCAAACTCACATTTGAATATTTCATACTTCTGAAATGTCAGCTGGGAAATTGTTCTGTTGTTTTCTCCCCACAAAAATGAATTAATAGAGTAATCATCTCTTGGAAATCACATTTAATTTTTTACTTTGCACTGGTGCCTAACTGGAACAGAAATCCAGACCCCTATCTCTAGGAGAAACCAAAGATAAGCCTTAGGATGTATATGGGTATGTTGGCATGAACATTTACTTATTTTATAAAGCTTCTTTCATAAGAGCAGCATCTCAAGATGAATCTGCATAATGGTGGTTAAAGTCCTTTCAGATTGAAATTATGGTGGGCCCACCATATCCACAGGCTCTGGACTGCAGATTTAGTCAACTGTGGACTGGAAATGCAGAAAAGAGGGGAGAAGAACCCTGAGATCTAGCTCAATCAGTCTAAGAAGCAATCCCAGGGTAAATAATGGAGCTGGCGGGCTCTCCAGAGGTGGGGGAAAGAAGTGGGAGTCAGTGATACCATATATACATGTATAAGTTAACTTCATGTCTAAGTTGAGGGCACGTTTTGTGGCCAAAATTATGGATTTTGATATGACCCATGGATACGTCGAAGGTCATTCCACAGACGCGGTGGGTGCTACTGCTATCTCGGGGGGCAATCACTAGAGGAAGTTGGTGCTTTGTTTAGATTTAGATAAGTTAACCCAAGTTTTTGGAGTAATTTTTGACTGAAATTTCTAAACTTATACATGAGAATATAAAGTCCTTTTCAGGAGGTACACTATTTATTTATTTATGATGTCAGAAGCGAATTGAAGGTAAGAGTTATAATGTATTTTAAAACTCAAACAAAGTTAAAAACTTGGCATTATACTAGATTTCCTTTGACCAGAAGTTGGCCACTTGGAGTGCCTTTGGTGTTGCTTTAAGAAAGTCATCCAATGTGCATGTGGAAGGGCTCAGATTGCATTGTAGTAGGAGGTCTGTGGTTTGCTCTTCTCCACAATCGCATGTCGTGGACTCCACTTTGTAGCCCCATTTCTTAAGGCTGGTTCTGTATCTTGTGATCCCAGAGTGCAGTCTGTTCAGTGCCTTCCAAGTTGCCCAGGAGGGAGTTTCTCATCTGGTATCCAGCAGGTACACTGTAAGACATGTTTTCTTTCTGCTCCTTCACCTTCAAGTGGCCCATCAGCCACCTACTTTTGCAAGTAAAAGTGCCTCTATGGCTCCGCTGTGGCACTTCTGTTCTTTCGTTCCAAAGGCAAAAAGAGCAGGCATTCCTGCCAACTCAAGATTATCACTGACTCATATCTATCTATCTATCTATCTATCTATCTATCTATCTATCTATTTCACATATTTGCATTCCATCCTCCTCACCCCGGGAGGGGGACTCAGGTTGGCTTCACAACAGGCATTCATACAATGCCAACAACAGTAATAAATGAGAAAAGCAATTAAAACATAAAATTACCAAAACATTGTTTAAATCATGCAGGTTTGAAATCATAGTCCAGGTCAGTGCAGTGTCATTCACACGAATTGGGTCTCATTCTAAATTACTGGATCTACTGTTCGAATCCTTGGTCGCATAAACAGGTTTTGAGTTTAATTCTAAAGGACATGAGGGAGGGGGCCAATCTAATGTCAGTGGGTAGAGAGTTCCACAGGTGAGGGGCCACTACTGAGAAGGCCCTGTCTCTCGTCTCCACCAGTTACGCTTGCGAGGATGGTGGACCGAGAGCAGGGTCTCTCCCGTCGATCTTAGACTTAACGATGGTTCATAGCAGACATACATTCAGACAGGTAAGCTGGGCCAGAACCATTCAGGGCTTTATAGGCTAAAGCCAGCACTTTGAATTGTGCTCAGTAGCAGACTGGTAACTAGTGGAGCTGGTGTAGTTGAGGGTTTGCATGCTCTCTGTATGCTGCTCTGGTGAGCAACCTGGCTGCCATCCGTTTGACTAACTGGATCTATGCCCTCTGCTTCCGCAGAGCTACCCACCCATCCACTTCACAAAGCTGAAGAATGCAGTCCTTGCGACCATGACTTGCCATGGCAAAAACAATAATGCTTCGTAACGCAGAAGACAGTAGAATAAAACAAGAAACTTATTCGAGATGGATAGATTCAATCAAGGAAGCCACAGCCTTGTTATAATTTATAGACATGGATGTCTCTCATTTATAGTGTTGCTATAAACTGAAGCCAATGTGATGGTGAATAATAACAACAAAAACGCTGGCAACATATTTTCTTCT